GTAGTCATTAGTCATCTAATGTTATTGTTATTTTTTGTTTTCGGTCAGACTTCACTCATCTGATCTTATTAGAAATAAGAGAAACAATCTTACATTATTAGAAATAAACAATTAAAAGAACAAAAAAATGGAATCTATGGAACATGCATGCCGATGAATTATATAAATACATTTATATCCGAAAATCAACATTTAGGAAGAAGTTGAGAATACTTGTTCAAATTTAATCAATTTGTTCAATAGTGGTAACTTCTATAGCTTTACTTCTTGTTAGAATGTTTGTCTAAATGTGATAAAATAAAAATGCTAGGAAGAAGTTGAGATTACAAGGAATAGTGGTAACAATTTTTGTTAAAAGTTAAAAGGAAAGAGTAAATCCAGTTTCTAACCGATAAACTCAAAAACTTTTTGAATATTTAGATGAAAGTATTGTGAAAATCAACATTTTCCATTTTAAAAATAAAAAAATAAATAAAAATGAAAGAGCCGTTAAAGGGTACTTCCTGGCAATTTCGTCCCACATAAGGGGAGGCAAGATTCTGACACTTGTCATCTTTAAGAGAATATTGATCAAAAATATCTTCTTTAAAATTCAGAATTTGTTCAACAGCTAATTTAAAAAAAAAAACGTTTGTCTTTTACAGTAAAAAAATAATAAAAGAAAACAAAAATGTAACCTGTAGATTACTTTCTGCATTTTTGTTTGACTGGCTCCACCTTATCTTTATGATAAAAATAAATAAAATTACGGTTTTGTATATAATAATTAATTTTTGGCTCGCTATCCAATGCAGTTTATTTTTGCATATAAAAAGTATAGTTTTCTGTCACTGTCACGCATATAATTCTGAAACCTTTATGCATATATGTCTTCATTAAATTAATTAATTTTATTATAATATCTATGTTTTTTCGTAAAAATCAGAATTTGTTTAATAGCTAATTAAAAAGCAAAAAAGATGTTTGTCTTTTACTATAATTAATAAAAGAAAAGAAAAGAAATAACAACCTGTAAATCTCTGACGTGTCTTACCAAAACCCTAGTCGTATCCGGTATATAAACCGCCATAGCTCACTGTTTCAATCTTGTGTCACCTCTCTCTCTCATAGCTCTAGGTCACTGTTCATATCATAGCTCTAGCTCACTGTTCATACAGTTTCTCTTCCCTCTCAATGCTCTAGCTCACTGTTCATACCATGCCTCCTCTACCACCAAAGGCCGAAGAGATCAAGTGGTAAGATTCTTCTTCAAGCTTTCATTTAATACTTTTCAAATTTTGTTTCAAGTATCTGTTTTATATAACCCTAGCTAACTTGTTTTCTTTTTGTTTTTACAGGCACGAAGAGGTTTTCACAGCTCTCCATGCTCTGATGGTTGGAGCCATTCTCAATGTGTTGGTTTTTGTGCAAATGGCAGCTGGCCGAAAGGACAATACGAGCCAAGGGAGCAAGTCAGCATCGTCTCCTTCATCTGAATCCGAAGATCCAAGACCTGATGTTGAGTTATTTCTATTTGGGATATCTTTTTTTCTCTATCTTGTCCTCAAGGGTTTTCAGATTGCTATACCTTTTTCTTGGTTTGAAACGAAGAAATATCTAGATGAAGTAGCTTTGTTAGTGGGAGCAATTTCCATGGCTGTCCTTTTGGCCACCATAACCCTTTCCTTTACGCTTTGCATAGCTTTACCTGCTATAGTGCTTATGATTGTGGGTAGGGTTTCTCTAGGAGTTGGAGCTCTTGAGTGGGCCTATGTAAAACTCCTCCAGCTTAAGAAATATGGCCATCTCTCTCTCTCTTGGTTCCGTTGGGTTATGGCTAGAGTTAGGGTAGGCTTTTCTTATCCTAGTCAAGGTCAAAGACATGCCATTGATGCAGCTAGCACTGAAATTATACACCGAAGGGATTACTGGAACAAGAGGATTCTTGCGGCAAAGATCAAAGCTGACGAAGAGATAGCAAGAAGAAATGCAGAAGAGATAGGTGACAAGACAGCTCTTAATACTTCTGACCATGACGCCATTATACGTTTTAACGAGAGAGAGAGAGAAATGAGGGAACTAGACTTAGAGGCTGGGCGAAACCGTGACTCAGAGACTGGGAACGATGGCTAAACCGAGACTGGGAACGACGGAC